TTGCACACTTTGGTCTCCTCCGATGTTTCCCTCTCAACATGGCTGAAACTGTGATGCAATTCACTGCTCAGAGTGTCTTGGCAGGGGCTGGGTTTGAGAAACGTTAATTCCACTGCAGGTACTGTGCGGTAACATGCTGTAACAATACAGTACAGTACTGTAGTTATTGGGAAACGGGCTTAGGTGTATTTGCCAAGAAGGAATTACGCAGAAAGGTGAGATAAGCACAGCTGAACTTGTTTATGCTGCGCCAGGTTGATGATGAAAAGTGAAGATCCGTGACGCCATGAGCCACTCCTGTTGTCACGACGATGCCCAAAAAGCTACGTGTATTCCGTGGCAAAGATAACTCTGAGAGTTTCACTTCTCACCCATCACCAGAGACGCACATGGAAGATCTCGGGCCTCACGGATCCCGGGGATCGTCAACTACCAGCGGACTCTCGAAGGCCCGAAAGTCCATGGAGTACGGAGTACGTACGAATGGTGGGTTCCAGCGCATTTGATGGGTTGGATGAAAGCAGGCACAAGAAAGCATAAACGTTACCTAGCCGACTTGTCTTGTTTTCTGCGACGTGTGAGGTCATGACAGCTCAGGTGATCGGCAATCGTACAGTCCGCGTTTGAGTGCCGAGTCAGCGAGTCCAGATTTTTTCCTGTTTATTTGGCTTTTGCTTTGGTGGTGATGTCTGAGAGGGAGAACCCGGTTCCTCCGAATCATATCCGGCTCGGTTATACTTTCCAGACGGAAAGATCTGGATTTATGGTCGTTTCGACATATTGTCGTCATGGACGGAGGGGAATTTGAGGGGTTGTCTAGTGGATGAAAACGACAGAAACTGAGAGACTGCCTTTGGAGTACAGGGTAACTTGTTTGTCACGAATGCTTCACATCACACAGGAAAGGTCGTTCACCAAGTTGGATGATATTTGCACCGTCGACTAATGTCACAGTCAATTGGATCATCCCATAAGACCCTTATGATAGATCTCTTTCGTCTTACGTGAGACTCATGAACGTTCAGGGTCCATATTCGTATCACATGAATGCTGTGCTTATTCTCAAGTGTTTGAGGCACACGTTGCAAGCAGCAGGGTCAGACACAACTGACTCTGTTGCTCCAAGAAGGTATCATAGGGGCTTGAACGGAAAAAGTAACAAACATATGAAATATATTTCCTTATAGTGAATATATACAACTATGATACCATCTTAATCTCATCTTGGATGATAAGAAGCTTAATGTTCCTAGATTATTCACTGCAGAGAAACCAAAGAGTTCAAGCATACAAAAGCTCATGCTCTATGGATTCAGTATATAATGTCACCACAACTGACGTCTCACCTGTGAACCCAAGACTGGAATTCACGTTGCCTTTGTTTTGGAACAACTTCATACTCACAAAGCGAACCACAATGATAAGGAATGAGTGAGATGTCCCAGGCACTATTACAGGGTCACCATAAGTACTACTTAGTTGATTCACATAATTTGGGTGTCCGTGAGATTGACAGTGAGTGTGTTCATCAAAGCATATCACCACCAATGTTAAGAGGGAAAGGCCTGAACCAACTTCCGTCAAAATGCGGCATCGGATATTGTCATTATTGCCAACTTCCTGCCTACAGTGAGATAAAGTTCGCCAAGAGAAGACGGCTCGGAGTGAAGCGCCAACACGAGTGAACATTCCTAGTATTGGTGGTTATGTGCATGGCAGTCTTAGACAATCTCATGTTAGCACCCTCATCATGAGATACAGCATGCCTAAGAGAACGAGCTTGCACTGATGCACAACGTTGAAGGATGTCGAGAACATAACCGGCGAGAGACTGTTCACTCAAAGATCGGTTGCTTCTTAGTGTTGATTCTCTATCAGTAGTTGCCACTTTGCTGTATTGGCCATACGTGCATGATGGGACTTTACAGTATGCAAAGCATTGTGATATAAGGAGGAAAGATTCCTTGAAAAAGAAAGCATTGTCATTACACTTGATATAGCCGTTGATTGAACCAAAGAAACCTGATTGACTATACATACTGGAGTTTGTGTCATGGCTTACTTATTGGTTGTACTAGGATCTACTAGAGCCTAGAGGTTACACCAATATCTTTGCTTCTCCTAGGCTCAAGCTACATGCAACTAAAGCTTGTACCTATAGTCAGGCTCCCCCTCACTAACTGGACTCCATGACTCCCTTGAGAAACAAGTCACAATTATGATCAGGGTCACCAGAACCCGAGCAGTGAATCGTTGGTACCATTGACACCTTCGAGTCTGATATCAGTCACACAGAACGAATCGCGCCATGGCGTCAATGGAGACCCTCCCGATTGAGGCAATCTACAACATTGCAGACCTCGTCATAGAAGAGGCATTTGATGAAAACGTCTTCGCAAAAACCCAATTGGCTCTGGCCCAAACAAATCATCATTTCTATGATATCGTCAACCCTCGACTTCGTGCAGCAAGCTATTGCTGGGCAGCTCGAGAGGGGAGAATAGATATCCTCAAGAAGGCACATGAGAATGGCGCGAATCTAAGCGGGACTGGGTCGATGAGGCCTGAAGAGAGAGCAACACCTTTGCACTACGCCATCAAGCATGGGCATCGTGATATCGTCGAATACCTCGCTGAGATTGGCGTGGATCCCCATGTACCAGCCAGAGGAGTCTGCGATTGCTGGAGTGATACTGAGCCCGTAAGGCCTTATGCCCTTCACATGGCCATCCGACATAGTGGTTTTGAAGGGGCTGAGAAAATACTTGTCAAGAAGCTAGGAGCATATTGGACATTTCAGGGAACATCAGCTTTGGACCATGTTGATCCTCACGATATCAGTGACAGGGAAATCATCGACTTGCTCGTTAAGCTGCCCGGATCAAGACATGCTGCTGATGCATTACGGTACGCTCTCAAGTGGAACGAGCCTGAGCTTGTGAGCCGTCTGCTTGAGAGGTCTGACATGGATGCCTCTGTGCCTGATTCCGAAGGCCAAACTCCTCTCTTCTGGGCGATTCAGTACAAACGAGTAGATATTGTCGAGTTACTGCTCCAGCGTCAAGAAGTTAATCCCGGTACACCTAACAGGAGCGGCTTCACCCCCTTACAGGTGGCTGTTGGCGTGAGAAGTTTACCGCTTGTCGAATTGCTCCTCCAACGCGAAGAAGTCAATGCTCGACTGACTGACGCAGGTAAAGCCAGTGCCCTCCACATTGCTGCCGCGCGTGGGGAACTAGAGATCGTGAATCTCCTCTTGGAGCAAAACGGTCTTGATGTAGCATCCCCTGATTCAACAGGGAACACTCCTCTACACTGGGCTGTCAGAAGTCGTGACAGAAAGTACCATCCAAGTTTGGTTCCGATATACGATGATGATGAAGACAACGACGACGACGATGAAGATGACGACGATAGTTATACTCTCGACGAGCCACCTGGGTACAGAGAAGAAAGCCTCGCCATCATCAAACGATTACTAGCCAGACAAGAGGTCAACGCGGGAGGCCACGATCAAGATGGACTGACCCCTTTACACCACGCTTGCTTGACAGCAGATTATGAAGTTGTGGCGCTCTTACTTCAACGTCAAGATGTTGACCCCAAAGCTCGAGCTATAAATGGGCAGACACCTCTCCATCTGGCAGCATCGCGTCATCAGCGAAGTGCAAAGAGGATAATGGATTTGCTTCTCCAACAACCCGGTGTTGAGATAACCGAGGTAGATCACGATGGTCGCACTATCCTGCACTACATATGTGGCGGGTTCGACAAAGAGTACCCAGTCCTCGATCTGATCGAGACCGTGCTTCAAGTAGGCGTCCCGCTTGACCAGGAATCTGCGAATGGTTTGACGGCTTTCCACCAAGCACTCTGCAGCGGGTATTGGAGTGTAGCCCTGTTTCTACTCGACCGCGGTGCAGATCCCATGGTTTCGAGGCGTTTCAAGTACAATAACAGCCTGCTGCATATCATCTTGAAACATTCTGACAGCGACGATGGAAAATGCGAACTAGTCGGCAGGCTCATCGAGAAAGGCATTGAAGTCGATACTTACACTGACTCGCCTGTTTTAGATCCCCGGTTCAATGAGGACGACAAGATCGAAAACGTTATAGGTATACGATCTCCGGATATTCTTGTTGGCTCAGATTGTACTCCGCTCTTGTTGGCATCAACGCGCGAGTACAGCCTCAACAACATGAAGATGCTCCTTGCGGCGGGAGCAGACCCGAGTGCGCATGTCATAATCAGAGATGTAGAGTTTGAGGGCAAGACGAATGGTAATCGTCAGGCGTTTCTGTCCGGAGTGTTTCGCCATGTCTGGGAGCCTTTTAGCCAAGGCGAAGGTGAACTCCTGGAACATGTAGATCCCATCGAGGTGTTGCTCCAGTTTGGTTCACGGCTAGATTTTGATGGACCAGCGGATAGTCCCCTCCAGGAAGCCTGCAAAGTAGCAGAAAAGGGACAGTTTGCTTTGTTGAAGATTTTGCTGGGCTTCTCCAAGGCAAGGAATGTTAGCGAAAGCCATGTTGATGAGTTAATCTCCGCGTATAAGGACAAGACGGAGTACGCTAAGATTCACGAGAGGCTGAAATCTTTCAAGAAAAGGGAATTCGTCGATTAGTGTTGTACTTTGGCTGGTTGAAGCCGTTGGTGTTAGGCAGGGATCATTGAAGTACCGGCACTTTATCGACGTAATGTAATATCTATCTATCAGTATAGCAAGCAACAGGATAGCAAATTTGACAAGAAATATTATAGTTAGATAACTTTGTTTCACTTCAAAGATAGAGAGAGTGTAACTGTTCTCTGTCGAAGGACTCTGAAATCGGTTGTAAGGACAAAGGGTGTCATGTGACATAGCACGTGCTCATCATGGGGATCGGATTTTCCCGCTAGCCGAATCGCGAATTGCTGCTCCGGCAAAGATTCGTGCCAGCGACCGACCTCATTTGAGCTCACCCAAGCAACAACCTCATCCACCAGCTCAGCCCATCATGAACTCCTTCCGCGTTGCCCGTGCGGCTCTCCGAGCTCGCCCCTCCGCCATCCGAGTCCCTCTCCAGCGAAGAACCTACGCCGAGGCCGTCCCCGACAAGGCAAGATTCAGCGAACCCCGTGCCCCGGCTACGACTAGGTTTTGCGTACCGAGCCCGACTGACCGTTATCGCAGATCAAGCTGAGCCTTGCCCTCCCTCACCAGGTATGACACCGCCCGCGCGATACCCGGATCGACGAATACGATTGCAATTGGACCCTTACGATGATGGCACCGTCGCCAATTGATTGATGCATGGGAGCTAATTGCCGCACCGCAGTCTATCTACAAGTCCCAGGATGTCGTCCAAGTCAACATCCCCGCCGAGTCTGGAGAGATGGGTGTCCTCGCCAACCACGTTCCTTCCATTGAGCAGCTGAAGCCTGGTCTGGTTGAGGTTGTCGAGGAGTCCGCTGGCTCCAAGCAGTTCTTCCGTACGTCATAACTCACAGATCCAGATCCAATATCCAATTGCCCGAGGTCGACAAATCGCTGATGGAATTTCTGTCTTAGTCTCTGGTGGATTCGCTACCGTTCAGCCCAACTCCGTCCTCAGCATCAACGCTGTTGAGGGATACCCCCTTGAGGACTTCAGCGCCGAGGCCATCCGAGCCCAGATCGCTGAGGCCCAGAAGGTTGCCAACGGCAGCGGAAGCGAGCAGGATATTGCTGAGGCCAAGATCGAGCTGGAGGTGGGTTTCAGACGACGACATATGCTTGCAATCGAGTTTACTGACGAGGGAACAGGTTCTCGAGACCCTGTCTGCGCACGTGAAATAAGTGTACAGCGAGTTTGTTGTGACGGAGGCCCTTGTACATCAATATTCTACCCATATTTAGCACGAAAAGCTGTGACAATTGATACCAGTTCTGGTTGTGCTCCTCCTAAATTGCATGCCCGGACCTCTTTTCCCTGTTCAGTGACTCCTTCCTTCTGGATTATCTATCTTTCAGTGACGTTGATAGGTAATGAATGCAATATTTAGTTGACCCAGCGCTGTAAGGCATTCCACAACTTCCACACCTGCAATTGTGAGGTAGGATGGACTTTTCTCTCCCTGCCATTCACCTCATGCTCCTGATTTGTGACTCCTACCTACAACATGCCACCCCTTTCCGCACCTCGCATATTGATACTGATACTCTATATCGACTACTCGAACTTGTGGGCTATCGTTGGTCGCCGTCTTCCTGCTTTGTAGCAGTGTCGCATGGCTTCTGATACGATTAGCCAATATCTTGAATAGCATTCCATCCCTAAACTCAACAACACGTTATGATCCCTCCGGGAGTCGTCGGTGATCGTGTTCGCCAGCTCCAGACACTTACCGAAACGCAAACCGCGAGTGGGCGACCTTCTGGCACTTCTGAGCGATCGAGTAGAAGCACTACGATCGGTTAGGGACCAGGAGTGGCCAGTGGGAACAAGACTCGTACATCGAGAGACACACTTCCGAGACAAATATCCTCAACTCTATCGCAGAAAGATAATCCACGGCTCAGTGCTGTCAGGGGCTCCAGGGGAAGAAATGGATCAACGAAACCAAGTGTTGCTGGCTTCCGGCCTAGGACGAGCTATGGACGAACTACCTCGAATCGACCGAGCCAGGCTCTTCGATACTCAGCTAGTACAGACATGCTCCCTTCAGAATCTTTCATGTCCTCATACCTTGACTCGACAAACCGGTCTCGTACTGCAAGCTCCACAGAGAAATGCCAAGATGCGATGGACATCCTTGAGCAGTACGGGATCTCGAGACCCTCAGGATGGTTCTCGGATGGCGACGCAGGCACGCCAGATCAAATCAAACAAACGAAATCGATACTCTCGCAGATCTGTCACTCGTGCGGTAACCCTCTCGCTTTTGAACGGTATTGCCCGCACTGCGGCCACGATTCTTGTATGAAGTGTACGGGAGAGACCCCTGGACAACCCCTTGGCCACAGGGTTCTCAACAGTTCAGTACAGTATCAAGAACACTCTTTCATAGGCAAGATACCTGAGCTGCCAACACAAAGTGAACACCCCGAAAGCGAACACAGTCACGCCGCACGTACTACAGTTGATACTACTCATCGTCGTAAGCTCTCAAGGTTCGCATCAGAGCCAGATACACCAAGGACATCCTTTAGAACCAAGACGCAATCTCGCCAAAGACCGAAAACTGATCACAACACCCTGAAGCCCACTCGGAAGAAGACGATTGCGGCACCAACAGAGATCTCTAGCTCAGTGAAGAACAACCCCTTTTTTGTGGCAGACAGGGGAATGAAGAAAGAAGCCCCAGAACCTGAAATCACGACGAGATCAGTGCAAGTGGAACGTAAACCCAGGCCCTCAGACTGTGTACCTAATCGTCTCAAGTCCAGCTCGCCCCGCGTTTCTCATATAGAGGAACAATGTCCCGACCCTGGTTGTAGAGCTACACACGATGGTCACCATCCAACGCGGCATAGCATTGGTTGTGCAACCCGGCGTAGTCTAGGAACACAAGTTGCTGAAGGCAACGATTTGGATATGATTGATACAGATAAACATAACCCTGAAGAGAAGAAGCACACACAATCACTGAGGGACTCACCATCCCGAAGCAAGTTACAGATGAAAATTGACCAACTCTATCATCACGGACAAGATCTCCATCACTCACAGCATATCATGGAGCATTTATCAGCTGGTGTGCAGACTCTCGAGTCTTCTACGGATGAGAAACCCACGAACGGGCAAGACGGGCGCATGCGGGCGGACAGCTACGGGTTGAGGGTACAGAGTCAACCTGGTATTGGCATCGATCACTCCTTGAGTAGAGACGAGACTGTCACAGTGGCAAAAGACACTATCGAACACAATCTGAACAAAGAACCGGCAGTGCCTGACGAGATTGAGCCACAGCCACCTAATCTTACCGATTATCACAAGGGGGATCGGCATCCGAGCCCAAAGTCTCATGAACCCCATGACGATACCCAACCTAAGGATGCCCATTGGATAAAGCATCCTATCAACAATAACAAGACCCATGACGCGCCGAGAGACCACACGAGAATACTGAATTCACAAACAGCTAGTGAAAAGCCCGTCTCTCAGTCCAAAGGACCGAAGAAAGGCCTCAAGACCTCACCAGAGGCAAATGAAAGGATTGCGCCACAAGCTCAAAACAAGTCCTTGTCAGAAAAGGGTCACGATGCTGATCTCGACTCCAAGAAAAGGTTTGGCAAACTTGACGAACTCGTTCTTGAGGGCAAAATGATGCCCAAACCAGCTCCACGTATCAACAAGGACACTGAAAGACCGAAAGCCGAGGCTACCGGTATCTCGTCATAGAGGACGCAGTTAAGGAAGGTCGATAGGTCTTCAGAGCAGCCACGAAGTCAGCAGCTAACCCCTTCCCATGTCGAGAACTGGAGGCGTGAGCTCAGCAGTGTAAATAGTCGTACGCCACTACCTGAAAAAGACAGGAAGGATAGTTGCTTCAACTGCAATCCTACTCAGTCATCATCGCCTAAGCAAACAGAGGGTGGTTTTCAGATCTTCGTTGAAGATGAGTCACATAACAAGACTGAGAATGAATTGAGTGCTGCCTTCGAGTCACCCATGCCTCGACTCAAGGTAACAGACATTGAGCATTCCCTGGCTCGCAAGAGCGTCGAGCAATTGTTGGCGAAGAGTCCACAGCCACAAGAGATAGAAGCAGCAGAAGAGCCAAAGAGTACGAGACTCCCGAGCATAACAGAGGATCGACCTCGCAACGACTCTGAGATGTCAACATTGATCTATGACCCTAGACCTGTGATGCCTTACAACCACATGTGTGCTTAGCGAGCTCGCTACATGGACCTCAAGAGCCAAGTTGACGAGCTTGGGCTCGAATCAGGTCGCCCATCGCCAGCGAAACTGGCCCAGGGCGTGTGTTCCCACCCCAATGGCGATGTTGACATTGAGGGCCTCACAGTAGTGATGCATCTTAGAGGCAAGGATGACTTGGTTATCAATACAGACTTGAAAGATGGTCTACAGGAACACATGAGGCCGCGATAGAGCAGAGCTCCGCAAGCGCAGGAAGGTTAGAATGGTCAGGATAGACCAGACCGGACCGGACGTAGAAAGTATTGCTTTTTTGATAGTTTATTTGTTATTAACTTCAGTATTGATACACACTGACCTATAAAGTTGGAATCATCGATCTTCATTGGCCTTGAGGCTTCTTCACAATCACATCGTGACTTGAGCACATGAGAGCAGTTCGTTCGTATGTCAAAAGCCATGACACGCGCACTGACAGCAAAGTCAAGGACGCTATCGGCGGAACAACATCCTTCTGCTCCATCCTCCAACCTCAACGGCGTTACAGTCCAACGTCAGCAACCGTAGCGAAACTCTAGCTGTCAGTAGTAGTCAGCCAACAGGGACGATTCCACGGCTTCCCGGTCTAAGCCCCGGGCCCTACTGCAGCCTCCCCTCTTCCCCGGTTTGCCAGGTTTTGATGCTGAGAGGATGTGCCAGGGGGTGGCCCGGAGCAAAAATCCTCTAGGTTCTGAGAAGCGGTGACAGGGGGGTGCTGGTGTTCTTTTGGTGTTTTTTTTGTATGCATAGGTAGGGCTAGGGTGTTGAACCTAGGGCAAATCGACCTTTTGGTTTTTGACGTGATAGACCTCTATGTAACGGAGACAGGATTTGGAGTGTGACTGTTGTCTTGTGAGTGAGGCGAGAGCAGGGTGTAACCTAGAACATGATCGACCTGTGCTGCGTTTTGGCGAGCATGTTTGGAGATAGGATGCTGCCTGTTTGGCCAACTAGGGGCATACACGAGATGTCAAAAAAGCAGTATGATCTCACTTGGGAGTAGGGATGAAGCGGATTTCGTCATGTTCGAACGAAACGAACCATTATAGCAAGACGGAGGGCGTCTGCGGCGGACCAAGTGTGTGTGTGCGTGTGTGTGTGTGTGTGTGTTCTCACATTGGATTCTCATCAATTCCACTGTCGCCATGAGTGAATACTGCATTTGAAGCGGTGAGAGAAAGAGAGAGAGAGAGACAGGAGCTGAGTTGTCGGTGAAACCCCTTCATTGTCTTTCCTTGCGTGCTGTTAGCGAAAAAGCCAACCTCATGCAATGCGTGCTCGCTATGTGCAGGAGAACTTGTAGTACATATGCAGCCGTCAAAGGCACAGATGCCAGCATCGAATTCCAAACTGCATCTGCATCCTTTGCCAGGGGGTCCCATGTTTGCTACGGAGTATACACCTAGCCATCACATATACTTCTCTTATGCACGTAACAACGCAACAGACATGGAAAAAAGTTCCGACCACGCAGAGCTTCACAATGTGAGTGAAAGCGGTCAAGGCGCTGAGGGTGACAGCGGTGTAAGGGAGAACTACACACGAGTCATTGAATGCCCTGGAAGTGTTACTCGGTAAACAATACACTTGTGGGAGTTAGTGGACCTTGGATCCGGCAGTTGAGAGAGCTAAGCAGCTCCGTGTCTCATGATAGGTACTCCATCCATCGTGCGGCGTTCAATAGTCAGAACGAGAGAGCAAGAGAAAATAATATTGGGTTCGCAAACATCACAAGACCCCCGGATGTGCTCCATGGATCATATGTAGGCAAACATTGGCGAGAGTCACGATTCATAAGCACTGTGTAGCATCCATCCTAACGAGCAAGCAAACAAGGTTGCCTGCCCAAATACGGATATCATGGAACGACCCAAGCGCCAGGGACATGGTCCGTCCGGACCCGGGTTCCAAGTTCCGAATAGGTCCAGAGCTTGAACCACAACGATAGAAAAACAGAAGCGAGGATAGAACATGTCTATGAGAGGAAGATCCGGGCGCTAGCAGATTATCAACCTGGATGGGGTACAGAGGTACGATGTATCATTGTCAAAGCCTCAGGGACTTTTAGTGCGCGTTAATCCAAACCTCCTCAGGCATTGCAAAGGTCTGTGCTTTCGTTGCTCTGTCTCTGCGTCTATAGTCGGGAATGAGCTGTAACAAACGATTCGGTGCCTGTCAGCACTTGTCGCTGTCAAGATCGAGTTCTATAGCTTGAAATCGTTGAGCCTCAATCCCCGGATTCCGACGTCCACCTTGAACACATGACCACCGTTCTCGCGGCTCGATCCCTCGCCCTCGTCGTCCTCGGCAGTTGTTATGACAAGCTCAGTACCGACAAAGTGCACGCAAGTGGTGTTCTTTGTCGGCACTTTGACCTCTCCAACAATCTTGGCTGTGCTGGGATCGATTCTAATGACACGACCCTCTCCATATACAGCTTGCCAAAGGAACCCGTCTACATCTACACGGAACCCGTCGGGCTCGCCTGAGCCATCATGATTGTAGAAAACGCGCTTGTTAGAAATTTCCCCAGACTCGATATTAAAGTCAAAGGCATAAATCTCTCTGGCGTTTGAGTGTGTAACATATAGTGTCTTTCCATCAGGAGACCAGCCTGGCGTGTTGGGAATTGTCATGTTAGGTAGCTTGACCTCACGTGACTTGGCGTCCATTAGATAGACCGCTCCTAGATCCAATATGTCAGACTTGATGAACAAGAGAGCAACGTAGAGTAAGTGGACAGGGTCATGATGTCGGTGCATCGTTTTGCTTTGAGCAGGGTAGAGTACCTTCGGGCTTAAAGGGACCGAGTCCAAAGTCAGTCATTGTACCCAGCCAAAATCGACCAAGAGGATCCACGCCGCCATCGTTACTTCGCATACGCTCATTAGCGGGTTCCTCGAAAGGCTGAATAAGTTCGTATGTCTCCTTCTTAACGTCGAGAATAGCCAGTCCATACTTGACGCCAATGGCGATGCGTTCCTGGGGATCAACCCCAGCAATGTTTGCTGTGACAGTAGGGCATACGTCTAGTTGGATGGTTTTAAGAGACGAAGGGCCTTCAGCCACCTTAACATAATGCAGCCTCTTATTGCGGATATCGACAAAGCGTAGATTGCCCGTTGCTTCCTCATAGAAAGGTCCTTCGCCCAACAAGCAGTGTGTCTCAAGCCAAGGCTTCTCAGCCGTCCATTGCTGAATATTGGCACTCATTGTCAACAGGCTCTGTACGGGTCTGACATCCTGTTAGTTTTTACGGCAGATTCACTTGAGAATAAGGCTTTATACCAATCAGTAATGGCCAATGGTGGGCGGGGTTGAGGTCAGGATGATGCTCTATGATGTATGAGGGGAAATCGAGCTGGCCAGAGCAAGCGAAGTTGAGAGTGGGGAGCTCTCGTAATGTGTTGGGATACTCCGTAGAGGGCTAATGAAGCATATGCGAGTGCATCAAATTTAGGAGAGGGAGGAAACAAATTGGAAGTGAAGCAACTCCAAAAGTGAAGATAGATTATCTTTACGGATAAATCCAACGAAAGGCCCCTCATCCGGTTCGGCACGGATATCGTTGAGTGTGCTCCGAAATCAACTCCGGGCCCGCCGGGCCTCAGATCCGGTCTTTATGTATGTTCTTCAAATCGCCATATTCAGACGGCCTGCATCGATTTTATATCTCGCAGAGTATGGATCTTGGTTCTTGCTGCAGCGGAATTCCACTTTCAGTCTCTGGAAGGGCCGTGGTGCCTGTATGTCACTCAGGTGAACAATGTGGAATGGACTCGGCCACACAAGTGGTCCAACCAACATGTTGGCTTGTTGTGGCGTTGTCTGACCAACACGCTGTAACAGTCGATCTTGCTTGGTGAAAGCCGCGAACCAGACTGTCGGGACGTATGGTGTCGCGCAAGAAACGTAATTGGGCAGCAGAACTCGATTAAATTGTGCACAATCGTGGTGCGCGCTTGCGGCCGTGTGTGTCGGGTCTCAAAGGCGGCCGCAGAATGCATACATAGGTACGGAGTAGTAGTAGGTATTAGACGCGGATTCCTGAGTGCGGCAGCTTGTTTAAATTGCCGCGCTCATCACTGGACAGAAGAACGATAAATACTCAGTATGGTAGCGAAACTAACCACCGCCTCGACTGTTCACTCTTTCTTAGACTCAAGCCTTCATCCAGCAAGTCTCAGTTTTACTGTGGGCTCTGGAATTCTGGTGTTGTTCTTCTTCGAGTTGTTGCACGTGGGGCATGATCAAGATCGTTATGGCCAACCCCCACGCTCTTCAAAACTGCAACATAGTCATACTTGAACCTTTCCCAGGACGAATACCGAAACTCCTTTGCATCCTACTTCGATGACTCCTTTCACCAACATAGGTAGCTTGGTCAGGATTGTAAGCGAGCATGACCAATGAAGGCCTTCTACTCCAGTTGAAAACCTTCTCGCATTCTCACATATGCACGCCAACAACGCACTGACGTGGTCCAATTCACCCGATTCGAACAGAAAGCACACATTCACAAAGCATCGTGAGTTGAAACCCAAGAATGCTTTCAAATTTGTCAGATCTTCCCTCCGGTCGCGGAACCATCAGGTCGTCATCGGGCAGCAACACCACCCTCATGGCGAGCAAACTGGAACGTCAAAGGACAACGCATCAAGTACAGCTCAACCTGCAGTTCTCACGCATCTGTCGGCCGGTCAAATGTATGCAAGCGAGACACACACTCACACCGCCCTGCTTTGAAGCAGCAAAGATGCTGCAGCAGTAAAAAGGAGTGAAGCGGACGCGGCACCGTTGGCTGACAGATGCCTACCAACTTTGTTACCCGCATTCACTAGCTATGCAGTGTGTGTGCAGTCGTTGGTTAGTGGTGCATCGATGCTGTGCTGCTGCATGTCGTAGATGCAAGAGTGGGCTTCTGCATGAACCAGGCCCAAGCTATACATCTTACTGTGAACTATTTGGCCTCGGCT